ACTGCCGAGCGCGTGCTGACGGCGAGCTTCCACATTTATTTTGATACGTACACTCCGCACCATCAAGACTGCCGGTCTTATCAGCCTATTAATGTGAGCTCTTTCTGAGCATGCGCTCTAGAAATCACCCTCAAATATGGCGTTCAGTGAATACCCTATACATACTGATGAGGTGAGTGCGTTCAGCGCGTGTACCGTATACGTTGCCATGCTACTTGGAGCTTGAGTAATTTGGTACGTGCTTCATCATGCAAGAATTGGTACATTACAGTGTTGTAGTAAAATACGTAATGTACATAGGTACATGGCGGCTGCGGTCAGACGTATTTACAAACTACACAGCCTGTACTCAATCCCAAAACGATCTGCAGTGCTGATCTTTGCGATCACGAGGGTTTTGAAGTGTCTTTGATACACGAGATTCTGCTGAGCTATGGTCACACGCGTGTGCCGTCTTTACTGCAGACATTTGTGAGACGGAGTAGAGTAGTGACCATAATCCTCTGGCCCCAAATTGTTTTGAGTTTTGACAACTTTAGATTTAAATAACAAATCACTCATTTTTTATTATTTTGTATACACCGTGCACATTTCTTTTCCTTGCAGTTCGCACACCGTTTGGCATGCACATGTAATATATTTGTTTGGAATATTTATTTAGTAATAATGTATATATTATTGTAGATACTATGTTCATAGTACCGCTTACATGTCACAGGCAAACTAAAACCTTCAGCGTCAGCACCTTCTCCTGATGCATCCTTTCGTTTAATCGGTACAGCGGGACCTGTCCTAGTCTCAATCGGGGCGTCTGGCCACTTTATAGTGCGTATGACAACGAACACTGAAATTGGGTTGTCACGCTGTATCACTCAACGCGCTGCTTTGTTGCCCCGTTATGCGATCAAGGGACGCGCCATCCCCATTTTAGCGTTCGCGCCCATGGCAGGTGCTTTGCACTTTCGAACGCGGCGAACATGTACGTGCTGAGGTTTTGTAAACAATAAAATGCTGCGGTGCCATTCTCACTGTTCGTGTCCATGTTTACGAAGGCAACAAACACGTGTTTGCTGGGTTGTGAATTTATCAATAACATCTCCAGTGCTGACAAATCAGCGCGGGTGCGAGTGTGGTTTTGAAAAGTGTCTTTTGTAGGCGATTTCTCGTGTAAACAAAATAATTCGGATGAGCTGAAGTCACTGGACAGGCTGAACTAGCCTCATACACTTGTGGCATAAACTTTTTGGTTCTATCTTATCTGTTCTTGTGGTATATTGTCAAAGCTAGCTTAGCTTCAATGTGCGGCAGCCCCGCACTGCTGCGAGAGCACGTGGCTTTGTCTATTGCACTTCATTTGCATGCGCTCGCGCAACTATCTGTGATAGAGTTGGAGCACTGTGGAAGCTAAGCTAGCTTTGACAACGTAGCACAAAGAAATATGTGGCCACGTGGCTTCGTCTTGCGTCTTATTTGCACGCGCTCTTGTGCAAAGAAGACGCCGTAGCAACACACAGTCAGACGCTCGCGCAAGTAGCTTTGACAGCTTTGTTTGAAAGTTTGTGTTTGTCCGTCCTCTTCTTTTCCCTTGCTGGCGCAGTCGGGGAACGGTCAGGGCATGGTGTGCCCCCGGGGCGCCCCGGGGGGTGGGGGGATCGGATACCGAGTGGGCTAGCGCACACCAGCTCGGAGCACGTGGAGCGAAAGCTCGCGCTGCAGAACCCAGAGATCCTGGGTTCAATCGCCACCCCTGCCCGTTTCGATCGGGATGAGCATCGTACCGGCGTGCGGTCGTGTATCACTACTGCGTGGTGCACGTACGCCAGGCTAGCAGTCGTACTGCACTGGCTAAATTGCTTATCTACAGTGGGTTACAATGTCGCCATGTTCTGGCCAGGCTAAACTCGTCCAGTATAAACAACTAACAACTAATTTGTTTGGTTTTCTGTCCCTGGGGAAGCTACGCTGGCTACGCCGCTACGTTCGCTTTGATAGCGTGGCGGGCGTGGCACGCCTAAGCAGGATGGATGGATGGATGAATACGGCTGAGCCCTTTGGATCGGGCGGTAGCTGACACTTCCAGCGCCCACTTGAGCTCTAGCGGTAGTCTGAAGCAACTATGCGTTGCTAGGAGGCGTTTGTTGTGTTTGTTGCTTGAAGCGATTTCAAGATGGCCGAAACTGAGTCGCGGGATAGTCGATACAACGTTTCAAATTGGTGCTGTGTTACCGGTGTTACAATGTCACTCTAGCACAGCCTCGGCGGGATCAGCGAAAGCGGGACATTGTGGGACAGGCAGGTCGGTTTCATCACCGCTATCACGATTTAAAAATGCTGCCGCCATGCAGCAACCATCTCGTTTGAAGACTTCGTCTTGAGGTGCGAGTACTTGTGAAGTTAGCACCGAATAGCGCAGCGTAATTCATAGCTTCAACACGGCAAACAGAACTGGTATCTCGTGTGTTTCCTTCGTACTGTGAAGGTTAGGAATTACGCAGCACTATGAGCTTTGAACCACTATTCGCATACCCTATTTCTCGTGGTTTTGCCCACAGATCTTTGCTGCACCCCGCTCGTAACGTCCACAGAAGGGAAGAGACGGTGTGTGTATATGTGCGTGTCCTTTTTACGCGCCGCCTTCCTCCTTGTGTGTCTCAGGTTTGACTATGTTAACAAGTGCGACTTAGAGCACCGCAGCGGAAAAGTGCTTAGGAGAAAAAGGTAATTAAAATAGTAGCAGTCAGCCCGTTATAATATGGTCTTAGAGTGTACAGCATAAACCCTGATGCGTCCAACCCATTTTAGACTGTCCGAAAAAATCAGTTTCCCAACGTTGTGTGCTGCGATTTGCTACAGAGGGGCGACTATACTTTGTTTCACCTTATGATGTACCGCAAAAAAGGCTACAAGCGCGAGCTCCTTGCTCTAGGTCAGATCTCGGCGGCACAAGCTCTCGTGACGTAAGAGCAGCTGCTGACGCTATGAGCTCGCGCTTCTTGCCTTCTCTGGGGTACAACATAAGGTGAAACGGAGTGGTGCAAGTTTGGAGTGAAAATCTAAACGAAAAAACTTGCCGCATTCAAAAAAGAAAAGCCTGCCTCGGAGAGGCAGGTTTTTCTTTTTTGAATGTGGCAAGTTTTTTGAATAAGTTAAGTAAACCAAGGCGCACCTGCCTCTCCGAGGCAGGTGCGACTTGGTCAAAGAGCTTCCTAAATCAACGAGGTAGTATAGCAATTTTGGATGACCGAGCACATACGTCTTGATTGAGGCTAAGACGGCTCAATGCCTAAGAAAGTGGAACAGCACCCATGGTTAACAGCCAAGAGGCGAAGTGTGCCGAGGCACAGTAGACTAGGGCTTGCCCAGTCATGGGGTTGGCCGAAACAGGAAGCGGCGGGGGCCGCAGAAGGCCCAGCGGGGCCTTTTAGTGTAAGTCAAATGCTCAAAGGGGCACTGCAAACAACTTTTTAACTGGTTTTTATTTTGCACCGAACCTGAGCGCACTGAACGTAGTTACTTAATAAAACTTTTCTCGAATTTTGCTTTATTGTAAAAGTTATAGGCAAATTAAAATTACAAAAACAACCAAAAAATAACCTCCTTCATGACGTCCTTGGTCCTGGCTTGAGCGGCCGTGAACTAGAGGAGGGGTAGTGAGCTCAGCGGGCGCTCACGGCTGCTGCGCTCCGTGTCGACGGCTCGAGAGGGCGCCACTAAAGCACATGCTGGATTGGCTGGATGAAGCGAGCGGCTCGCATTGCATTTGCTGTGCGATTAAACACTAATTCAGCATGACACTCCATTGGCCACAAATGACAGCAAACACGGGGTAAAGGTCAGCTCAGGACGGGAGCCACTTCGTGCTACCCAACGGCCAAACCGCAAGCCACACCTGCTCACCGAAGGCCTTCGGAACGCTCACACCCGTTTGGATCTTTGAGCCCATGCGACCGCAGCGCTGCCGCATACATCCGGGAAGTCTCTACCCTCGCCGCTCGTTGGTGCCTCATCCCACTACCCCTTTCTAGTATGTGCCGCCTTTTCCACCGCTAGGTGGTGGGTATGTCGACGGGTCATTTCTTGTTTCCATACTTTATAAACTGCATTCGTTTCTTTTCTGATCTAAAATACTGAGCAAAAACTACCTTCATAAATAATTGAAATGGTTTGCACCACTTATATTTTGTATTTCGACTAGTAAAAAAGCTTTTAGCTGCTCTGACCAGTAGTAAGGCCAGAACCAAAAACGTCTTGATGTCGTCACATATCGAGTGCTTTCGGCACTGCGGGTCGCACCCGTAGATGGAGGAGGCTTTCGCGTCGTCCGGTTAAAATGTGACGCACTGATATTTAGTTAATCTCTCCGTGCCCGCTGGCTTACCCAAACCCCAAGAGACGTGTAAACCGCAAAAAAGTAGACACTTGAATATGATTGCAGGGCCCCTTTAAGTTGGAATATGTCCAGTGACGATTTGTCAGGCCTATGTATGATATTGGACAACAATTTTATTATGGTTATTCACATCTTTTGGCAACTTTTGCCTCTTTCCATAGGGTGACTACTTTGTGATATGGTGTTTCTTTACAAATTGGTTAATGCTGTAATTCTCTTATTTCTATTTACCATAGAATACCGTGCATCCGCCCGTTCCATATTAAGCACCCATATCCAAATTTCTAATATAGAAAAAATATGCACAGTACATTTATATGTCAAATTGATGACCGGACAAGCGCCCATCCCCCATTTTTTCGCGTTTATCTCTAAATTTGGAGAGGGCGCTTGCCCGGTATTTTACGGTAGTGAGATTTTATTCAATGTTCCTTAATGTCAAACCAGGCTTAGGCCACCTTTTCATTCTTGTAATTTGCATTGTCAAACTCCTTTGTCTAGGATTCAGCAGGCATATAATAATTGTGACAATACATACCTTGACATCTCTGCTCCTTTTTCAATGTAAAAAAAAAAAAAAAGTCTTATGTATGCTAATTAGGATGTGACAATGATGGTTTTCTTTTTATTGGATGGGGTGAGTGTACCTCTATTTAGGTCTAAGAGCTGCCTGGAAACACGCAATAAAACCATGATTGATTGATAGCATGAATACAGTTTTTGTCGGTAGACTGCAGCATTTTAAGCTGTAGTGTACTGAGAACATGTGCAAGATGCAGGAAGACCTCAGTTGTTGAGACCCTTTAGTGGAAAGAAATGGCTGTGGATGTAGAAGACAAAATAAACAGTTACTTTGGCTTGCACAATTGTCACGATATTGTGGTGCAATATTTTTATTTCCATTGCAGAGATTAGTACATGTTCTGCCTCGTAAAACCGGTGTACCGATTTTACAATGTTCCGTATGCGAAAAGGCTATCTTCCCTTCTCCTTCTCTCCCCTCGTGCACCCTTCTGCCCCTTTCCTTTTCTTCTCCCTCTCGCTTCTTCCCCCCTTCCCCACCGACGTTTGTTGGTGCAGAGTTCGCTGGCAACGAATAAATGTTGTTGTAAACTGAAAGCTTGTACAGGTCTGTTTCGTCCTTCTGTTCGTTTTGTGCTTTCTTACTGTTATATCTGTTCCAACACGCTCGTCAAAATCTTCTTGACTACTATTTTATTTTGCATATCTGAGTCTGTCTTCAGTTCCTGTTTACTTACTGCCCTGGTGACATTGAGACAGCATGCTGGCCTATGATGAAACCTGCTCAGGTGGCTTCAGTGTACAGAGTTGCAGCCCAACTGCGAATTATTGTCAGATTTCCCTTATTTCGGGTGGTAGTCGGTTAGACTGTTGCATGCGGATAAACTAAAACTCTGCTGTGAAGGAATTATTGGGAAATGGAGCCTTGCATGGGGAGGCACATGTCTTGGTCAGAAGAGGCACTGTCCCCAGTGACATACCTTTACTCTTTTCCCTCCTCTTTGTATGTTTGTAACTTATTATTTAATGTTCATAACCTATATGAAACACACATTGGTTCTTTCTAGGGCTGGGCAATTGGTCGATCAACCTACCACCTAATGCTTTAATCACGATTCATTTTTGTAACCGGTTGATTGGTAAAATTTTGACAGACCAAAAGTAAAAATTAAATGCTTTCACCACGCAGATGTGGATGAGTACACCTATATGAAGGGCATATTTTCAATGACATTTTAACTTAAAGTAAACTGTAAAGACGAGACTTGTAAATCCAGACAAGTGCAGAAGTTTACACGTGTCCCGGCCACTTCAATGCCATGCGAGTGTCCGTTTAGTGCAGCAGAGACTATTGTGAACAATCAAAGGTGGCCGCTGTTGCCGGAGAATATCAACAAACTTCCTTGCCTCATGCAGCTGAAGTAATAACTTGCGAGTGTGACTGTCTTTGAACTGTACTGAACTACATATCGACGATGATTTGTAATTAAAATTGTATATTGCACCGTTTGTCACATATTAAGCAAAGGCAAAAAAAAAAAATATATATATATATATGTAATTTTGAGTTATGAACGAGACCAATTAATTAATTGAGTGAAGGGTGTCAATCGGGTTAAAATTTTTAATTGACGCCCAGTCCCACTTTTTTTCTCTTCATGTAATGGCAGTCGCGGAAAATGTTTCAGAAAAACTAGCAGCGTTCACCCCAACCCACAGACAGAACAAGTGGCCACATGATCTAGAACCAATTACCAGCAGCATACTATTTGGATTCACAATTTTGTTTTCTGCTGCAGATACCGGTCACCTAGATGTAGGCACGCATGTCCACCTTGACAGACTCCCACAGGAGCCGAATGCCCGCGCATCACTTGTGTGGCAGCTTCTCTATGCCCTGCTGGAACCACTTTTACAGCAAAGCTGTTAAGGGCTGGTTTCCCCAGGATCGTGTCTCTCACAAAGAAATGAAGACACCGAACTCTGGACACCTACCACCATCTATGAGCGACGGCGGCAAGCCACCTATCTGGTTGCCGCCGTCGTTCATGGGTGGCGGCAGCCTTTCCACTTTGGCTTGCTGACTTGCGGCCAGCCGTTACTTTTCATTGTTCAGCTCCGCTGGTTTTCCTTCTTCACCACAGTGGAGAGGCTGAAAGTTTTTTTCTCGTCATTTGTCCAACTTTTGCATATTGCAGTCATATCGGTTGTCAGAGTCCTTTACTAAAAAAAAAAAAAACAATGATTTCTTTTTTTTTTTTTTGAGTTTTACATTTACGCTTGGACAGCTGCTTCCCGCGTATTAATGACTGCGAAATGCCACATTTTATGTGGTAAACACTGGGGGCCCGGGCAGGCCATACACGACTCAACATCCGACTGGTTGTTTGACATGCCAAAAAGACTGCTGAACCCGATCAGACACCAACAATCACAGACTCACATGAATGCAGCGGCATAAACTTTCCATCTTCTTGGGGGGGGGGGGGTGTTTTCCGCCCAAGTGGAAAAGCACCCCCCCCCCCCCCCCCCCAGAAGCACGCAGGGATTCTATGTTTCATGCATTTTGTCAATAAAGGCAACGTGGGCATTATTTTGTTTACATGCCACTACTAGAAACAGCGTCTCGGTAAGGATGCCCGAGAGGGACGGAGCCCCCCCCTGGATCTCATTAGGGGGGACCGAGCCCCGATGACCCCCCGTAGTCTACGCCTATGCGTGAATACACACGATGCAGCAAGTGGGTGGCACCTGATGAGGTTCGACCATCTTTCTGGTATGTCGTAAGACCAGTCAGACATTTGGTCGTGCATGCGTATTGCCTGACTGGTCCCCCAGTGGTTATCATGTTTGGTGCCTCGAATAAATTATTCCTGCAAATTTGCATTTTAAGTTTTCTGGTGCAGATAAAAGAAGTATTTTCTTTGTTTTTTTTTCAAACTTTTACTTTTTCAACTGTAATACCTTGACAGGGTAATACAGAATAAAGAAATAAACAACCATGTTGCTCTCAGTAAGGCTGATTACAGTTGTTGCTAACAGTATAATAGCTGCCCTCCCATTTTTTTTTTTTTTTGTAAGCTCATTGTAAGCATGCTGGGTTCCAGGGTACAACACAGATGAAAATATTGTCAATGCTTACATAAGTGCACCTTCAAGGCCAGCATCATAGATAGGTAACTAAAGAGGCAAAATATGCAGCTTAATCTACCAGTAGCTTTACATACTGTGTAATAGAGGTCTTTCAGGCATGTGAAAAGAAAACCGAAGTGAAGTGGTTCAAATTAATCCTTAGTTCTTCCCGAGGCATCCATCACATCTACATTTGCTTCGGAAAATCAATGCCAAGCATTTTACACTTTCACATTCTCCCATTAAAAAACACAACACACAAAAGAAGAAGAAGAAAAAAAAAAAAAAAAAAGAGGACAAGGGGAACACAAGAGAAGTAACTCTGTATTCACTCTTATTGATGTAGTGCATATATATTTCTGGGATGAGGAGGCAGGGGAATGTCCCCCTGCCTCTTCTTCCCAGAAACCGCTGGGATGCTCGTGTAACTGGGCTTCGGTAAAGTGGTCTGTTCTTCCCGAGATCGTACCACTGGTACGCTTAGGCAAGACATTGTTATCGTCGTGAGATATGCAAGGACGACGGAGGGAGAGGCCAAAGCAACGAAAAGCTCTACACTCCGAGGTGGCCTGCTGTGCAAGCGCTCTCGTGCAGTGTAAAAGCTGCTCAAGACAATATTATCGTACTTGTGTTTCTCAGCTCGCTCGCAGGCATGGGGAACACATTGCTTTCGGCGCGAGGCCGGCGAGGCTTCCACCTTCAGTGATTTTCTGGCATCGCGTGAGCGTCCAGCGTGATCTTGCATGCTTGTGGCTCAGCGGTTTTCGGCGAGCGGGGAGGACGCGCTGGGGTCAGTGCTGCTCTCGTGAGCAGCGATAGTTAGGATCGCGAAGGTTATGCAGGCTTGGGTATATTATCAAGATGCATACATGGGCTGACTGATACATTAATTTGTAAAGAACTACATGAAATTCTCTAAATAACCGAATAGTCCCAACAGCTGACTTGCCATAGCGCCGCCATTTGTAAACATGTGTGCGTACTCTTGAACCGGAGCGCGAGGTGGCAGCGATTTTTGGTCCTGGTCATTGATGGCATGGGTTTGCCTTACTAACTTAATAGATAATAATTAAAACAAATTTCAAACAAGTGCAAGTATATAACACAAGCGACCCATTTGTATTTTAAATTAATCTAAAGCCGGATATGACATCAGAGTAACAATATTGTTTTGTTGAAAAACTAATGGGTTTGTAATGAGTTAATAATATATTGACATTAAAATAGTTTATTAGCAATATAGTATGTAAAAGCTTTGCGACCCATGCGTTGTAAAAAACCGGATATGACGTTTTGGGTCGACGCAACGTTTAGCGTTGCGTCGACCGGGTCGACCCAACGCCGGCCATTTTTTAATCAGCCGTGTTGTATCGATCTCCATGTATTCTCCCATAGGGCGGGCCGCCTCCTGGAACCCTGAGTACCACGTGACTCGCGCCGAGCCGCTCTGTCGGCCATGTTGTCGGCAAAACACGGGGTTCAAAGGATTGCGCTACTCTGCTCCGTAGGAGCTATATAGTGCTCTAGGCGCACGGGATTTGCCACTCCTCCTTAGAGCTCCTACGGAGCAGAGTAGCGCAATCCTTTGAACCCCGTGTTTTGCCGACAACATGGCCGACAGAGATCTCTATGCCGACAGAGCAGCTCGGCGCGAGTCACGTGGTACTCAGGGTTCCAAGAGGCGGGCCGCCCTATGGGAGAATACATGGAGATCGACATAACACGGCTGATTAAAAAAATAACGGCGAGTTCACACTTTTCAAAACTAGCCTGTTGTGAAGTTAGTAAAGCGCTGAACACTTTATCAAAGTTTGAATAATATCGGATGCGTGTGCAAATTTTGAGAAGGCAATTTCCAGGGCAATGGCGTTTGAAGCAGACGATGTTTGCTCGCAGCGGAGATGGGCTTTTCGGGTTGGCCGTAGCGGGTCACGTGAATGGTGTGACGTCGCCGTGTCGTCTGCTGCATGATGCCGCTCAGGCAATTTTTTAAAAAAAGTTACGTCCTTGCATGGCACAAAACTTATCGCAAATTATTCTAAAATGTTTCATTATTATGTCAAAAATGATTGTCATTCCGTACATCCCCACAAAACTGAAGGAACAACGATTTTCTCACGTTCTCCATGCATTTCTGACCGCAGTTGGAACCTCCGGGCGTTCGCCGCTAGTCGCCGAGAGACGGCGTTCTAGATTGCGCTACTCTGCTCCGAAGGAGCTATAAAGTGCTCTACTCCTCCTCACCCACCTTTACCTCCCTGCATTCGACGGTAACCCAAATAAGGATTATGGAACTCGGACCATTGGTTTTCTCTCGCAAGAAGTAGGGTGAGAACTCACCAGGAAATGTCTCGTAGTTAAAGGCGAGGCCATTAGAAATTGAACAATCCACTCAAAACGCACCCCGTTGCATTCTTGACGCGCTTTCTTCCGCGGACGGCACGCAGAAACTGAAACTAACATCCTTACAGTACAACAACAAAAACATATACTATTTGTGTAACACGAACGTAAAGCGTAAATAATCAGTTTTTCTGCGAAATTGATATAATATAGTGTACTGAATATTAATCTAATAATAGAATCATCCGAATAAGGCGTTGGAATAAGGATACCAGTACAAGTAAAGTCATTATTATCCAATCCAATCCAATAGAACCTTTACTGGCGTGTCGTCTGTTGTCTGTTTGACGATTGTTTTATTGTTTCGCGGGTTGTGTGTTGTTTAGCTTTGCTTGGGTGGTGGCTGCTTGTTGCTTTGCCGAAATGTGCTTTCATTATCTCTTTATCTTCTGAAAAGTGACTGGACCAATCATCCAAACTCGTCTTAACTGCAGCTTCGTGTCAACGTTAAATGATTGCGTGATCTCCAGAAATTTGATTGCGTCGGCCGGCACAATCAAATGGGTTCCGACATGTTAGCCCGGGTGCTTTATTAGCAGTTCCTTTCTGCTCCTGTGCACAAACCAGCTCGTGCGCCAGACTCTCTGCTTCATTCGCCTGCAACAGTCGTGTCGGCGGTGGGTGAGTGAGTGAACTAGTCCTCGTCGACGCATACGTATTGCCCTCAAGGCGTCGTGAAAAAAGAGACGGTCAAAATTTTCTCAAGCTTTGGCTGGGGCACGTTAGATGCCATTCGTTTGTTTGACACGGAAACTATTAAATGTGGGCCCGGACATTTCATCGAACTCCGTTTAATCGAATACCTTTTCATCGAAAGCCAGTTTATCGAAGGCTGTGTCTAGAGTGCCAGCCGACGGCACTTCACCCGCGCCTACAAGTGCCGTCCAAAAGAAAGTCGGACGGCACATGTATCACTGGGGAGTTCTCCGTTCGTTTTTGTCGGTGTTTATTGGCGTATTACATCATAGATGCAAAACTAACTAGCCCAATTAGCCATTCTTATCGAAAGCCATTTCATCGAACGCCGTTTCATCAAAAACAAAAATAATAGCAGACTTCTTTCTTTTTTTTCTCTCTCCTTACATAGAGGGCTAATAATAAGAAACTTTATTTTCTCCGCCATATTTTTTTTTTTTATGCGAAAGCATTAATTATTTTGTGGAGCGAACTGGCATTATCAGCTTTTGAAGCCCCGCAAAACGGCACTTAAATTGGCAGCCCCTAAATTCTCCTGTCCCATGGAGCAAAGCCCACACATGCAGCGAAGGGAGGCATAAATTCCCACTGGCTGCGACGCGTCAAATCAGATGCTTCGTCACGGAAGCTGCTGGGGGCTGCTCAAAGTCAAAATGGATGCGCCTCAGAAAAAAAAAAAAAACAGAAGAAGAGCACAGCAACGCAGATGCATGGTCACTGAAGCCGTGAAGCCGAGGTGGTGGTGTCACGCTCCTCCACTGCGCCTGCGCAGGGGGGGGGGGGGGGGGGGGGGGCGTGATGTCACCGCCTGAGTGCAGCTTGAAAAAGGAAGCCTTGGCATGCTGCTTGTAGGATGGCGCTGCGTGTAACGAATGCTTTCGCATTCTTACACTTAAGCATTCTTAAAGGCACGCTGACACCGGCAATGCGATCTAGTAACGCAATGACTTTCACCGCAAAAGCGACCATCGCGGGAAAAAAGTGGTGCGATTTGAACAGTCGCTTGCCGATCCGACTTTTTGCGATGTAATTTAGTTGCGGAGCGGCTGAGGCAATCAACGGCGTTCAGAGCGAGAGTTTTTGAAAAGCGACTCGCCAAAGAAGGCACTGGACTCGCTCATTGCGCACGCCAGTGTGACCATCTAATTTTTTTGCAATGTGATCTAGTTGCATCGCACGACTGCTCAATTGCCGGTGTGATTGCGCCTTAAGGGACACTGAGAGGGTATTTATGCTTGCCAAGGTTTTTATTAGTACATGACATAGGATAGATTAATTAATGGAGCTGTGCAACGATTTTATTGTTGAAAGAATTGGCATCTTCTACTTTTGACATTGTTCATCTTGTCACAAAGGACAGAAAACACACCTCCTTCCTTCTAAATGTTGCGATTCCACCGCATAATCACGAGGCAAAAATTAGAATATTCCTTACCTCCAGCCTCGAGCGGCGGCCATAAGAACCATGCGGCATGACGTCAATGGGGGTCTTGTAGAAAGATAGCAAGTTGTACGAATACCTGCTCGATGAAAGGTAACTCTTCTATAAATCTTGTTGATCCAACATAAATATGAATGCGTCAAAAACCTGGTATCATGGAGAAAACTTTTATTATACAAAGTTTTAGTGGCGCCATCTATCCTAGGTCCACAAAACAGTCAGCTCTATGTGCTACCGCGAACAGCCGCCAGAAGCCGAAGGGGGGGGGACAGCGCCAACGGGTATGGCCGGACCCAGATGAGACTTTCCTCCTTCCACCATATTGCTTGCGCTGTGCCCGCTAGCACGTGGTCACGTGGTCGCGAGCGGATGAGTTCTTGCTGCTCACTGATGGCTCTAGAGAGCTTCACCGGAACCCTGCGCCACCCCCATTGACGTCACAGCGCACGTGAGTCGGAAGGTGGTGAAGGAGTTGAGAGGTGCCGCAAACCTCAATCTTAGTCCATTTTTAAAACAAAAACTAGGACATGCAGGCAAGAGTGGTTTTTTGTTCTTTACTTCAGAAAGGTCAAAACACCAACTCCCAAATTATTTAAGCAAAGTACTGAAACTATTGCACAGCTCCTTTAACTACCCAGAAAACAATTCAAGGCTCGAAATTCGTTTTCTTTCCGTCCGAAAACCGCCGATCCAGAACTGGCCTGTTTGAGTCGCACTCACTCTCTTCTCCATGGTCATGGGCTGTTTTCTGTGGTTTAGACACAACCACCGAAGAAAATCAAAGTCGTGGATCATCGAAGAGAAACACACAATATTAGAAATAGAACAGAAATATGATACCTATTTTTTGTGGCTTCTAGAAAGCTGCAAATACGTTGAATGGGGAAAAAAAAGTATCACAGCCACGTGACTTCTGCCACCTCTCTCCTCTATTTATTTTTCCTCCCCAGTCCAGTTTCGGTTTTGAGCAGTTACTTTTTTTTTTTACTTTCTCTAAAATATATGTGATGCTTTAGAGGAATATTGATTGGGTAGTCTTGTGACACCATAATAAATTGCCTGACAAAAAATAAAAAAGATAAATTTTGTGGAGTGTCAGTGTCTCTTTAAGTGTCTTCTCAATTTTTTTTTTTTTTTCATAGTAACTCATGGTTTGTGTTGCTAATGTAGCCAATAACGGGAACACTGCCTTGACATTTTATGAAACCCATGATCATTGGGTACAGTGACGAAGGTACATCCCTTCAAGGGTGTTTCCACATTCTAGAAAAGACTTGTTCTATTTCAAGGCCATGTCGTCCTTGAAGCTTATGTCGCATGAAGCAGAAAAGAAGGTGTCTTTCTTTGTTTATTCTTCGTCATCAGCAGTACTGTGGACTTACTGGCTTTTCAACCTTTGTTCTTAGAAAGAAAGCCATTTCCTAGGATTGAATGAAAACTCGAGTAAATAGATAAAGAAAAAAAAGTGCAGAGAAGAATAGTTATAGTCCTTTCTGGATCTACCTTTTATACGTGAACAAATAGGAAACAAAATACGTGGTGGAGTACTGCCACTTAACAGAAAACATTAGTACCCACTCAAGTTTCGTAATATTTTGATTCGGTAACCAAACTTTTGGTAAAATAGTGACCAGGCTAGTCATTTTATTTCTAGCGATTTGACAGCAAAACTCGGAAGAAAGAGTAAATAATCTAAAGTGCACTATAATGCTCCAAACTTTGGTTGAAGTGGAATTCAATGAAATGGCATCAAGCGATTCACTGAAAGGTCTTTCAATGAATCGGCGTTCTGTGAATTGGCGTTCTGTGAATCGGCGTTCAATGAAAGGTCCACTTATTCAATGAAACGGCGTTCAGTGAAATGTTCGGAACCCCGTTAAGAGTTTATTTCGTTTTACCGACCTCGGTCGCTTTGGGCAGGTACTGACATTGTTTCCTTGAAGTGTTGCTTCAAAGCGACCCGTCGGCGTAATTGACTGCATCGAAATGTTTTGGGCAGTTTGAATTCCTGGCACTTGAGTGTTTCTGTTTCAAATCACAAAGTTATAGTTCATGATCTCTGGAGACCTAAATGACTTGGTGTTTTTCACCACAGATTTTAAGTTAAATTAATTAGGAAAAAAAAGAAGAAAAAAAATTACCCCTGTCTGCTCCTGGATTAGCACTGCAGACAATTTAAAATAAATGAATGAGGTAAGTGTACCGCCTAGTTTGTCTCTAAATCCAAATATATATATTGCTAGCGAGACCTCGTCAAAGATGAGGCCTAGTTATTAAATTAGATTAAAGTTGTTAAATAAATTAAATGTTAGCAGTTATTAAATTAAATAAAAATTGCCCCAATTCTCGTCTTGCTTTTTTTTTTTTTTTCCCTTTCGGTTGTCTTGGGCGTGTCTTTGTACCTGATTGTTTTGATGGGAATTCAGGTGCACTAATGCAGACTACTCTTCATTCTGGTTTTTGACACAGGAGCCCCTGTCTTTCTTTTTCGATGCTCCAACATAGTGTAATAAAGGGGTTTCTCCCATGCATGAAACATGGAAAGTCAATGACAACTTGTAGGGCACAACAACTACTTTTCCGGAATGAATCAAGTGTTGGTGAGGATTCTTGCCCTGGAAGTAACAGTGTTGCTGTGCTGACTATATTTTACTCGAGAGAAGCTGCAGTCGTGAGGGGGTTTGTTGAGACTGTTTGCGAGCCACCCCATACAGTAATTTATTAGGTTTTACAAAGTATTAGAATATGCGTTTCTTGGCACGGTCATAAAATCATGTTTTTTTTTTATTCTGTTATTCGTAATAATGGAGATGTGATGTAGACTGCAAATTGCCCTTAAAAGTGTTAAACTTTGTGTTGTTATTGCGTGCGACAAAAAAGTTTTTTTTTTTTTCTACGTCATCATTATTTTTTTGGATTTTGTTGGACGTCTTAGTTTCATTTTAATCTTTTGTCAGAGAATTTGAAGTTGTGTTTCAGCATCTACGATCTAGAATCCAAGTTTTTGGACTGGATCTGTAAGTCCAGAGATTGTCAGAGATACGAAACTGGGAAACACATACTCCATCAAGATAGCCCCCCCCCCCCTCCTCTTTTTGTGAAAGCAGATTTCTCTCGAGTCTGTAGATCTTGTCCAAGCACTCCTGGAACATGTTCCTTACAGTGTGCTAGAAACAGTTCTGATGTTGGCATGCGATGTTGGGAAACAAGTTACGGAGGCAAGGTGAGCCTTGTCTGTGTTGGCGAGAAGGCTGGGAGCGACTGGCTGCCCACTATGTATATGGCTTTCTACCTCCCATTAGTATCTATGATCTCTATGCCTCTCCCCTGCCATCCCTCGGACGTCGAGGACGTTTGAAGACTTTTGACTGTAAGCCTCCCTCAATGTGCTGTAGATATCCATAGGACTTCTGCCTGTTCATAAAATAAAAATAACCCTTTGCATAAAAAAGAATCGTCAAACCAGGACATGCTTGTATCAAGG